TTATTTATTTATTTATTTATTTATTTATTTATTTATTTATTTCACACTGCTGGTAAATGTGGCTCAAATCCAGTTGTTTTTGGCCCAATGCAGCCTCTTAGATGTGTTTATAAAGTGACTGAATGTTAATGTCTTGCCTAATCTGACTGTAACCACTGAGGGAAGCAGTGACAGCTCTGAACTGTACGGTTCATACTGTCTGAAAGCCATGTTTTAATCATAGTGTGATACACCACTGAAAAACAATATCTGAGCAAAAAAAATCTAATCTAAGACCTGCAGTGTGAACATATTATTTCCCCACTTCCTGATTCACGTCACTCCCCCCCTCCAAAARCCCCGGTGCCCCCTGGGGGAAGCACACCACTCAGTTTGAAAACCCCTGGTAAATGGAACTGCTAAAACCGTGCCGAACTGTCGCAGTTTCATGATGAAAGTTGCGACATTCTGTTTGCATTGTCAACATTTCGGCAGCTTCTCGACACGAGCCACGAGTCGAACTTTTTACCCCCTCCACATAAGAACTTATTGTGTGATTGGTCAGAAGTTCATGGGAGTGTTGAACGACCATACTGCCTGCTTTACCCTGTCAAACAAAACACGTGTCTGATGCCAAAGAACAAGATGGAGTTAGTTTACTGTAACATGAACAGACATTACCAGTTGTAGAACCAAGCTGAGGACTTATTCTARTGACMGATTGTGTAAAACTGCCACACTATGTTGGAAGAAACCAGTACTGATCCTGTTCTGCTCATGTTGTGAAGCATCAGCCCATTTAGCATTTCTAATTCTCTTGGTTCTAGGTTTCTGCCATGGAGACTGCAAACAGAGCGGAGCCTGTAGCCCAGGAGGACAAGACCAAACTGCTGAAGGCTGCCTTCCTGCAGTTCTGTCGGTATGTAAATGATAAAAAACAAAAATACCTCCAGMTCCCTTTTGAGTAATAAATTACTTTGTGGGTTGGGGGTGGGGGGGGGATTTACATGACGCCAGTGACACGATTGAAGAACATCATGGATTTAATTATGACCATTTCAACTGTGTTAGTACTATGTTAGTTTAAAAATATTCCTTATATTCACAGAAAGCTATCAATAGCATAAACATTACTAGTTTAAAGAGGAATTTACCCCAAAATAGGGCTGCCACGATTAGTCGACTAGTTGACGACTAATCGACTATTAAAATAGTCAACGACTAATTTAACTGTGTGACGTTGCTGGTACTGTGTGACGTTGCTGGTACAGTGACGTTGCTGGTACTGTGTGACGCTGCTGGTACTGTGTGACGCTGCTGGAACTGTGTGACGTTGATGGTACTGTGTGACGTTGCTGGTACAGTGACGTTGCTGGTACTGTGTGACGCTGCTGGTACTGTGTGACGCTGCTGGAACTGTGTGACGTTGATGGTACTGTGTGACGTTGCTGGTACAGTGACGTTGCTGGTACTGTGTGACGCTGCTGGTACTGTGTGACGCTGCTGGTACTGTGACGTT